TTTTTACACAAAACCACCCTCCCCCCGCAGCGAGATCAACACAAAACTAAAGAAAACGTGTCGGCGTGTTTGACAGGAAGGGTTTTGTCCCGAATTCCTAAAGAAACCGGGAAAAGCGACGGGGAAGACGGAGGGTAAAGCAGCCCGCGGCGCTGCTGTGCCATAACGCGCTGCCAGGAGGACGCCGGGGCAGCGTGGGTGACAAGTGTCCCCTCCTGAGGGTCCCCCCGGGCCAACCCTCCTCCACGGAGGGGGGGCAGAGGCAGAAAGGCAGGCCCAGGGACTAAAGGTTTCCTTTAGCTTCGAAAAAAATCTGGGACCCAAGGTTAAAAATCTCACTGGAACAGGATTTCAGGACAAAAAACAAACAAACAAACAAAAAAAAGAAGCAACGACTCCCTTCGTTTGCTGACGGACTTTATTGGCGTTAATTGAGCACATTCCCAGCAGGCAGGCAGGCGGCGGCCGAAATCACTTCGTTTTCCTCTCCAGGGCCAGGCTATCGTGGAGCTTGGACACCTCGGGCTCGTAGGCCTCCATGACCAACGTCCCGTTGTCGTCGAAGAATTTCGCCACGGATTTGGTGAACTCGGCTTCCCTCTGCTGTTTGGTTCTGCCGCTGATGAAGGTCAGCTTCAGCGTGTACTTGTCATCAAACCTGCGGGGGGGACGGGGGGTCAGAGCAGAGTTTAAGCCCGGCTCAGCTGAGACACCAAGAAAAAAAAAAAAAAAAAAACGAGGAACCCCCGTCTTGGCCCCCAGGAGCGGGGGGGTACCACCCACGGCACCCCACATCGAACAGCTACACCCCACAGGCGTTCATTATAACGCCCCTAAAGATTTTTATACCCTTCCTGATCGCTCCCTCCCTCCCTTTAAAGAGAAGCTCGTGGCGAATGACGCTTGGCACCGCTCCCACTTCTCGACAGGGACATGGGCTTTGAGACCTTCGTAGGGATAAAAATAAAGGGAAATATTTAGGGGGGGATCCTACGGCTGGAAACGGGGCGCAGGAGGCGGGCGAGCCCGTCACTTCCAAGCGATAACATCCCACGGGGAATATCAACCACGAGCCGCCCGGGCAGCCGCGAAGATCACGGCGCGGGAGCGGGTCCTCCGCGGAAAGCTCGCATCCCCGGTGCAGGCACGCCAATATCGCGGAGGCACCGATACTTTCCCGCTAGTTTTGGTTGGGAATTAGCCAAAACGCAGCTTTTTCCACCCCAAGGAGCTCGCTAAGCCCGGGCGAAGGGTACCGTTTGAGACTGGAGGAGAGCTGCCAAACGTCGTCGGGGTCCATCCCCGCGGGGTCTTTTCTGTGAGCTACGAGGAAAATACTCTTTTCTTTGTACGAGGTGTAGATGGTCAGGATGCCCATCATCACAAAATAGGTGCGGGGAAAAAACGTTAAGGAAACGGGAGAAGTCGCAACGAGAAGCCAAAACGAAGAGAAATCGCTTGGATCCCCTCACGGATCCAAGCCTCTGGTGACGTCACCCTTCCAAGCAGGACGCTCGGCGGGAGGTCAGCGCGAGAAATTAATTTCAATAATAATTGCGGCCCTTAAATCTTCGCCGTGGCACAAGCCGACGCCTGGAAGCGGCGGGAAAAGCGGCGCCTCCCCCCGCGCCCTCCCTGAAAGGGGTTTCTCCGGCCGCAGAAAACGTGAAACCACGAAGCGAAGCGGGAAATCGCAACGACTTTCAACGCTTTTTGCCACATTTTCGGAGCCCCCTCTGCCGGGAGGCGGTGGGGCACCGCTGCGACCCACCGACCGAATCACCGCGGGGCCCTCCCCAGCGCAGCCGGAGCGATGCACCGAACTCCCTCGGTTTTAGGATTAAATCGTCCCCAAGCGCCGCGAGGGGAACGGGCCCAACGCCGAGGACTCGCCCCCCGGTCCCAGGCCAAGCAGTTAAGTTTCCGGGCCACCAGTTCATGCTGGTGCCACCAAAACCGCCCTCAAGATCAGGCCCGTGGGCGGCTCCGCTCGCCCGTCATGCGCGTGA